GTGATTACAGAATAATGAAGCCATTGTTCGCATTTCTTCTCCAGATCAGGGGGACATTCCAGAGCAGTGTGAAAGTGATGTCTTGCATCCATCTGGGGACACTGTCAATGGAAACCATGTCACAGCCACTGTGCGAGCAACAGCCACTTCTCCACAGGACTTGAGTGAGTTCTCAGCTCAGAAACAAAAGTGAATGCCCCTTTTAGATGTCAACTGCGCAAAACAAAAAGCTAAATATTGAACATTCTGTAGGTCTGGGTGCTAAAGTGATTGAAAACTTATCCCAAAAGCATTATGAAGTAAAGAAGAAGGAATGTTTTCTTTTCTTTACTCCATGAGGATGACTTTTGTCGCCCTAATTTTGGTTAAACGCGTTTTTAATTAAAAGATTTTTATACTGTCTCCCCCCTGCTCCCTTCTTTCTCCAACTTCTCCAGAGAGGATTTTGATTTTTCTTTTCACCTTTTTTTAGAATGATTATTGAATATTGTCTCTGTTCTTGGATATTTTCTGTACTCTATGTATGGACTATTCCTATTTTTCTCTTCACTCCGTTCACAAACTGCGTTACCACAACGCTGATTTAATTCTTTGGGTGGACAGAGGTGATTTCAATGCAGCATATGCAGCTTTTCTAGTTGTGCTGGCTAGCAACACTCTATTTTTATTTAGAGAAGAGCTTGCTAGCTTCTAACCCAGTTGCCCAGTTTTTGGTTTGCCCATCAAATTGCCGTCTGAGTGCTGTTCCACTTATGTGGCTTTTCAGTATACTGGTCACATAGGCAGTCTGTCTTGCAGTAATGTTAAGAGATTTTTAAAGTACTTTGCTTTATAAAGAATTAGATCCAACCACATTGCTGAGAGGGAAAGGATATAGCATGGGCTGTAAGGTAACAGATTTAATGAGAAAGTTCAAGATTGGAATGAGAATTGCAGAGAGAGATTTGCCAGCTCTGCAGCCCCCACTCAGGTTCTCCCGTTCAACTCTTGGGCAGTCATACATCAGGCTGAAATGTATTGAAGTGGAAAAAAAACGCTTCCAGATATATAACTGTGGTATATGTATTAAAAAAATAAATAAATAAAAATCCAGTTGTTTTTCATTTGCCCTTAAAGCTATCCAGGAACCTGTAACTCACTTGAGTGCTACTGTAGTAGGTTACAGAAGTATACATGAATCATATCAGAGAGGTTGAAATAATTTTTCACAGCTATGTTGGATCGAAGAGAGACTGAAGAACAAAATACAGAAGACAAACACTGGGAAGAGGAGAAGAAGGTTGGAGAAGAAAGGAGAGAGGGAGAACAACAGGGAAGAGGGGAAAGGGAGCAAAATGAAATGGAAGAGCTGAAGAACGAGACGGTGATTAAATATTTTAATTTCTGACAGTACTGGGGCTTTGTACTGCCATATTATTTTAGAAGTTAAAATAGATGTGGGATGGAAATAGATTTTATTTTTCTATTTTTATTTTTAGACAAAAGTAGTAGAGGCAAAGTTCTTTAATACGTTTGTATGACTAACCAAAGGATCTTGCTAGAATCATAGAATCACAGAATGGCCTGGGTTGAAAAGGACCACAATGATCATCTAGTTTTAATCCCCCTGCTATGTGCAGGGTCGCCAACCACCAGACCAGGCTGCCCAGAGCCACACCCAGCCTTGATCATCGAAGCTAGATTGTTATGCCAAGTAACTTTTCCACTGGAAATGGATGCTTTTTATTCCATTCTTCATGTTAATGATTCATGTTCATACAGTTTCATATTGAGAATGCAAGTGTCACCAGATGACAAGCGATACACTTGTCATCTATCTGGTCTGCACTTGCTGCTGTGTGACATCACCAGAACGTCTTAATGTCCATCTGTTCATTAGCCTTTATCAGGATAACTACCCTAGCTAGGGTGTCTATGGGGTAGCAGAGGTTATAAGGAGACTGTATGGAGTTTAAATCCTTTTGAACTAATGAGCACATACTGAAATAGCGTTCCAGCCTTTTGGGTACTGTATAGTGTTTCTTTTTTTTGCTCCCTGGCTGCCTTTCTTCTTCCTCTTCCCACTCTTAAGACCTCAGTTAATTCATTTCAGTGAATTACACAGCCTCTCAGTGTCAGCTCATCTTCTTCAGTCCACGTGCAGTTGTCCACCTCAGCCATGCTCTTTGGCCATAGAGAGAAGGACCTCAGTCCTCAAAATATTTTAGGCATCCCGACAAAGAGGGTTTTTTGAATGATGCTTCTTGAATTTGACACTTGATTTTGAACTGCATGTAGCAGATGTAATGCTGTTTATGCTAGCACATTTCACTAAGTTTTTGCATTAAACCCTGCAGGTGTTTAGGTGTAAAAGTAATTTTTGACCTGATTGTTTTTATTTTTTTTTTTTTTTTTTTTTTTTTAATTTTTTTATTTTTTTTTTTTGTCTTAAAGTTGATCCAGGACTCGATGAAAATGGATGAAGAAGATAAGGGAGAAAAATGTGAAAGCAATAATTCTGGTGTTGAAGAAGTTGTAAAGCATTCTACTCCCAACCCATTAGAAAAATACATGAAAATAATTCAGCAGAGGAGAGAGCAGGAACTGGCACATGAGGTGATTATTCTTACAGGGGGCCCTTAAAGTATTAATATATATATATATTTTTAGGTATCAGTGTTTAAGCATAAATATGCCCTCAATTTTTAAAATCCTGTGTTTAACTATGGTATTTTGAAATCCTAACTAAAATGCAGCAGTTTGGATCTGTAAAGGTCATTTGCATTCCACTACCACAGCTGACCATATTGACAACTCGAGGATGGAAGGTTTAGATCAGATGTCAGGGGGGAGCTCTTTACAGAGAGAGTGGTGAGGTGCTGGAACAGGCTGCCCAGAGAGGCTGTGGATGCCCTATCCCTGGAAGTGTTCAATGCCAGGATGGATGGGGTCCTGGGCAGCCTGGTCTAATGCCAGATCTAGAGGTTGGAGACCCTGCCTGTGGAATTTGGTTGGAATTTGATGACCCTTGGGTGACCTTCCCACCCAAGCCAATCTATGATTCTGTGACAGAATTCAGCCTGGCAGAAAGAGAAATGTGGCCTGACACAGCAAGAGCATGGGTAAACATGGCTTCGATGATGAACCACTGCATACTTCAGTCACTGTCCCAGACTGTTACTGCAAAGCTCCGTCATTCTACATGCAGTCCTTCATTGGCAAAAATGAGCTGGCTCTCCCAAGTGATTTTTATTTTCAGTTAGGTGCCCTAAAGAGCGGAAGCAATTATTACTTGCTTAAACCTTGATTTAAGAATCAGTTACAAAAAGTGTGTTTTCCCCTTGGCTGCCAGGATTCAAAAAAGGAAGAAATACAGGACGTATCACTCATAGAGGGAATCACATCTAGCGAGAAAGACGACAGGTAAGGATCATACATTTCTTCTAATGACTTCTGTTAATAAATACAGCGTGAATTAGGGCTAAGAAGAAATCTGCCTCTCAAAAAACAAAATAAAAAGCAATAAGCTAGTAATAAAAAGTAAAAATATTGGAATAACTGAGGATCTTCCCAATTTTTATACAGGTAAGTTGTGAAATTAGAGTCCAGGAACCTACATTCCATGATCTGTTCCAATAGCTGTTGCAATTAAAACTCTTATCTGCAACTGAGCAGTGTCTCAGTTTCTTTACATAGAAGTGAAGCCTGAGGGATTTTTCTTGGGTAATGACCCGATGCAAATGTGTCTGTGCTGTACCTAGCAGGTAGTCTGTTATTTGCATTGCCTCCAGCTTTGATTTATTGGAAGCATCGTGGACTTCTGACAAACTGGTTCACATGCTATTTCAGAGAGGTTTATGACAGCCTGTGCATGTCCTACATTTCCTTTGGGGTAGTTCTAGAGATCAATAAAGATACGTTGCCTTTAGTTCTTATATAGGGGATAAATATCTCCATGATAGGGGAAAAATACCTCTATCAATCCAATATTTTGATTTATTCGAAGATGTACAAGTGAAAATGTTTCTAAGGAAAAAGTAGAGTGCATTAAAAAATTATTTATATATATATTATATATATATATATGATTCAGTATGATCTGTCCCTTTGAAATGCTACTGTACGTACCAGCCCCTATGCTGGTTCTTCTGAATTACACCTGGATGGTGTTCTTTTCAGTGGGTGAGGGTGAGCATGACAGAAGTACGAGATGGGAGTGCCAGCAGATAGGGGAGGTGGCCCACGCTCACTGCTAAAGGCTCGCTTACTCAGTTCACAGGAACAGCACAGACGGACGTCAGCTGAAGTGGTGATTATGTGCAGGCTCTGAAATTGTGTTGAACTTTTAACTTCCACTTTAAAACAATATATTTAAAAAAAGAAGCTACTTGAGACTCATGCCATATTTTCCTCCCCTTCCGTCCCGCATACAGCGCTGCAGGCATTTCTCATGGAGACGATGATGACAACTTCTGGTGAACAACAGCAAGTGTTTGGGTTTTTGTTTTTAACTACAATAAAAATGTTTTTAAAACATCTTTCTGGCTGCAAAGGAAGTCATAGTAAGCCCTAGGCCCAGGAATTGCAAGCTGTGCAGTTATAAATGAATAAAGCTGATACTGAAGTCCCACTGCCTCAGTCACTGCACTCCAAGAGTCCCGATGCATTACTCATGCAGGTGGAAGAAGAAGCACTGTAAATTGGTGTGTCCAGTGAATGGCCTTGGCCTTGAATCCCTAGAGTCTTCTGCAGCTTTTGAGGTGTTGTTCCCCCCCTCCTTCCTCACCACTTACCAACTGCAGGTCAGTGGGATAACCAAACTTCTTGTTATACATACACACAGTTGTGTGTTTTTAGAGGCATCTGGTGGAGACCCTTGGCTCGTGTGACAGAGCGTTAACTTGCTCGTTACTGCTGCAGCAGCAGAAGTGAACACTTCTAAAGCGGCCTTATGTCTCACTTTGTTGGTATTCACCAGGCCAGAACGGAGAGATTCAGATAAAAATGCTATTTGACTCACCTTTATTTAAGCTTTGCATTTTGTAGGTATAGGCAAGATTGTTAAACTTTATTTACAGTATAAAATACAGTATTTTTATCAATGGAGTAATTCTGGCTGGCAGCATATAACGCAACTTGCGGTGTGCTGAGGCTGCTTCTCCTCCCCTACCTTAGAAGAACGTGAAGCCCAGTTTGACAGAACATAGGGGCAAAACATGAAGGTCTGCCTTGAATTCAAACGGATTCCCATAAACGAGACAAACTTGACTTTTTGAAATGGAGATTAAAAAACATTTCCAGGCTTGACTAACTTTATATGCTGCCAAACTTACAAAAAGAGCTTCGTTTTGTCTGCTGTCAGGAAGGGGATGGATAGTGCTTGGTGCTTTACGCTGACCTGGAACAACTACCAGTACTCCATGCGAGGAAAGCTCGCTGACTTACCACGCTGAAGCACACACCTACAGGGCAGCCTCCTGCTCTACGTTACCAAACGGATAACAATGAACAGAATGTGCTTCACTTCAGATAGAGATAATAAAACAGACGCGCTGGTATAGAGTAGCTACGGGTCTGTTTAAAATAAGCATACCACGAGTGTTGTCTATTATCTACAAATATTTATTTTAACACTTGGATGTAACTACAGGAAGCCCTTGGCACTGATAGAAAATATTGATTCACTGTTAGGTTACAAAAATTTATACATAGCAAAATTTAATGCTCTTTACATAAAAATATTAGACTACTTAAACAAAACTTCAAAAACTCCCAGTAATAGCTACACTGAATTAGAAAAGAATTAGGCTTTAAGACACTGCCTCCATTATTACCCTTATGCAAACACTGGGCTAGAACATCACCTGCATTGCCGTAGAAATGTCTCCTTCATGCAACAGGTAAGAACATACACTAGGCTATTTGTCATATTTGCTCTACACTGACCAACTCTGACCCCCTTTTAAACTGTAAAATCAGACTTCAATATTTAACAAAAAAGAAATTATATTTGCAGTTAACACCCCTCCCCCCAAAAAAATGCCTCTTTTAAATCTGACTTCAGGAAATTTTGTGCTTCCTTTGACTTATACTCAGCAAGCAGTCAAAACTATCGAACCACACGTCAGCATAACATGGGTATGACTCAAATACTCTTTTTTTTCCCCCAAACGAATGATGCATTTTACTTTTCCCCCAACATTTATATATATATATATATATATCATATAGAACAAACACCAAATATACCATCACTAATACTCAAGATATCACTGAAAGCTTCTGAAATAAAACATATTAATTAGAAGGCAGACTTCTATGGGAAATGACTTTAAGATGGCACCGGTTTGTGTCGTCGTTTTCTGAACACCACTTTTTCTTAATGTGCTAATGAATTTGTAAAAAGGAAAACACGTAAGCACTGACTATAAATTTGCTAAGCACCAAGATAGAGAAAGGTGGACATCCTGTGTTCTGTTTTATGGCTGTCGTCGTTACTGTTTGTGTCAAACTCTGCAAACTTTCTCATCTGCTCATTTGGAGTAGTCACATCAGCGTCATTTTAATAAGGTAACACTTTTCACTTACAATGTAGGATAATGGTCTCCTGCCACTATATAAATGCTAAGACATTTATAGAAAATAAATATTAAGGCAAAGCTGACATTTATTTTCAAAGAAGGGGATCATTATCCAGATCCAAGCGTCTACATTCCATTAAATAGTTAATAAAAAGATTAACACTTGGGACAGCTGCGCAACACTCGGGTAAGCACAGGGGAGCGACTGCTGCATCGTAAAAAAGTGTGGCACAAAAGTAGATGGCTGTTCCTGTGGCCCGTGTAAAGAGTGTTCAGAGTGCCCTATTACAGCTTAGGAAGTGCTGCAACAGCCGTGCTTTCCAATGAGCACACGCTGCTGTCAGAAATCGCATCCAGCCGCAGATTCGTGTGGTGTATAAACCGAGATCCTAAATCACACGTCTTACACGTGCCTGTGTCTAAGGGCTGCACAAATCCCTACTGCTTGCTGGCTTGGAGCACCCGCCACAGTTTTGTGCAGGACTTCACACTGCATGTCAAATAGCAAATATCAAAAGTCTCGAAGAATAATTTGGTCACTCATTGTGAAGTGTTGCCTTTTAAAATGCCTGGAATAAAACCTCCATTCTCTGTATGAAAGGATGGAAGATTACCCATGGGAACATTTCCCTACGAACGTGTTCCAGGGTTCCAACGTGAAGCTTTTACACTTCTCTATAATTTTGTTTGGTAGACACACATCTTACTGCAGAGCAGCTATTTGTTGATTTGTCAGAGCTACAGAATTCTTCTGCTGAATTACTGTGGCAACCATTTATGTGTAAGAATTGAGTTGCTCTTTTGACCGAGACTGGATATCCTGAAGCTCCTGCTCTTCTTTTGCTTTGATATCTTGGTAGGCCTGCATTTTGCTTGCATCCTTTAAGTAGGCCCAGTTAGAAGACAGTATCATGAGGAAGTGGATCTGGAAGAGAAGGGTGAGCATGATGGCTAGTGAGCATGTCAAGAGGCAAAGCAAGCTGCTAGTTAGATTAATAGACGCTCTTTACAATAACAACCAAAAAAAAAGTTACTCTACGTTAATAAGCATTCTGTTATTAAAACAAGCACAGAGGCTATTTTCAAAGGTCTCTAGAATTCTGCATGCTAATTTTGAGGTTGGTTATTCACAACTTAGAGAAAGTTAGTATCGTGGTAATTAAATGAGCTACAGGGTTGTACGGATCAATTAAAATGCAGAATGGGGGGAAGTGAGAAAAATAAACGTTCGTTTGTACGTGGCAATTTAGAACATCTGCAAACTGGAGGTGCTCAGAAAAACTGCTTCCTAAGGTGGTGGTGCTTATGTACACTCAAGCCCAGCTCCTGGTAATTCTTTTCCCCCAACAAGCAGATGAGAACTCTACCCTCCCCCTCCAAAAAGTCTGAAATTGTAAACGGTTTTATTTAGGTGAACAAGGCTACAGTAACACATGGAAAAGTTAAGCAACAAAACACCAGTCCAAAACTAAGCAAAAGCATGCAGGCTCTGGGTTAAGAAGTCTTAATCGTGTATCATTACAGCTACATTTTAAACTTCCACCCTCTAACTTCAGGTGAAAACTCTTACGTGTAGCAACTGTTCTTTTTTTTGTAATTGTGGGGACTTTTTCTGGTTTGTGAATTCATCTCTTTCCAATTTCTTTTCTCCAGGCTTCATGCAAAAAAAATCTACGTCTGAAAAACACTGATTCACTTCTCCTTTATTCCCCCCCAACAGTGTAAAAAATGTCTCAATGCTCTATGCATGGTTTTGCTTCCTGTGCAGTCATACTTACATTTTTGAGATCTGGCTACCGAGAAATCAGTTACTAAAGTGCAAGCCACAAATGAGAAACTATTTATATGTTATTTCATACTAGCTTGGGGCCCAAAACCAGAATGTGATTGTTTGACGCCGAGCTAATACAGGATGTATTGCCTTCCAGAGGGAGTGATTTGGCAATTGTTTGGAAATGAAGTAAAGAAAATAATCAACTTAATCATCCACGCACCAGAAATACAGCCAAGTAATTCATAGTACTGGAGTTTCTCATTTCTGCCAAAAGAGACTGGCACTGCTTTATTACTCTTTTTATTCCGTATCGTGCATGTTCAGCATGCTCGAGGTTTTTGAAGTTGTCATTCACAGTGAAGAGTAAATGAGTAATTCTGTTCCAGAATATTTGTTTTAGAGAAGAGTGTTGGAAAGCAAAATGGAGCCGTCAAATGAAAACATCCTACCTCCAAAAGAAAATTCGTGAACAGTCCCTACAGTAACTGAATCCTCTCAACACGACAGAATAGCCAGATCTCATCCACATCATAGTTCATATACAAGAAGTCATTTTATTAATCTGATAAGCTAAATGAGGCTTATTGAAGCTATTTACAATTACTGTAACAAAATTCAGAAAGCTAGACTTTTAGCCTAGGGTGTCAGTGGTATTTTTCAAGCTACGCAATGCAGCTCTTTACTGGGCTTATACAATTTAGAATTTAGTGCAGCAATCTTCCCGACTCTTAAACTTCAAAACAGCATAGTTATATGTAGTAGCCATCATGTAGATCAGCTGGTGGAAGAGAACAAAATACAGGAGAGTAAGACACAACAAGGTGACGGCTCAAGCCCTCTTGGGCAACTGTTGATTCTTTTAAAACAGATGCTATTTGGGGCTTCTTGCAGGGTGAAGATGCAAGATAAATTACTCGCCATTTATCCCTTGAGTAGAATCTACATACAGACCAAAGGCTGTTTTGCCAAAGGACAGGGACCCTTACACCTGGACTTGGCACTGCAGGGTTGGACTGGTCAAACTGCCTGGGTCCAGACATAAGAACGGCATTCAAGCCGTTCAATCCCGTAAACTACAAGAATGAAAAGAAACGGTGGACATAAAAACACCAGTAGTGGGCAAAAGTGGGATTTTAAAAGGACACGTGAAGTTTTCTTCCTAAGCATAGGGTAGATGGGTCAAGATGACTTCCTAAAGCAGAAGTAACTTGTAATGACTGAAATAAACTGGCAATAACTGCAAATTACTGGATGATTACAGCTTGTCCTCCTTTCTGTGTAGGGTCACTATTTTAAAGATGCGTAAAATTTGGTCTTAAAGCATCTTAAGCCTGAAAGGAACACATTTTACAGTAAAAGAAGTAAAAACTTCTACCCACCAATGCTATGACAGTGGCACCAGCTCCAGCACAAGCCACAATGAACAGGTGGTAAGACATGTAGAACTAGAGAGAAAAACATGTTGAAACACTTTAATTAAAGTAACCGAGGATGGTATAAAACACATTTCAACTACTGCAAAGAATAAAAAATAGGCTGTCTTCATAGCAAAGCTTTAAAAAACTAGAATGTTCAGAAAACACTCATTTTTTGATGCATAGAGACAAAGCACTTTCATTGTTCTGTTTAAATTAATCTCTTTACACTACCTGTATTGGTTTCCTCAAGAAACTGCCATCAGGTTAGCTACTGCCCTGTGCCTCACTCAGCAGCCTGGAGGCAGAAGGCACACACAGGGCGTCTGCATACCTCATTTGTGTTGCAGATGTTCTCCAGGATCGGACCGCAGGCTTTGCCAGGTACAGCGTTCCATGGGATAATACCTGAAATAGCACAGCAAAAGAAATCACTAATTTTAGGAATTGGTGCACACTTTCTGTTCCTTTCTCATCTTATCCTCCCACTTGCCAGTTGCGTTCCCATTTTGGGCATCCACACATTGACCAGCACAGCTTTGAATTGGCAGGAGGAATTAACTCGCTCAAACTGCGCGTTCCCTTTATACCAAGGCTTCCTGCCAAGCTGTGTTCTCAGATGTGGCTTTCCCATATGGCAGCCAAATGGTCGGCTTATGCACTTCAGGTCCAGTATGAGACTGAAGCTGCCTGCTCCCCGACTGGGGACTGAAGGGGATCATCTGCACTTAGAGACACCTGGCACCATTCACGACAGCAATGCCTTACAAGGTTGAGTTCTACTCCACCAAGTAGGTAAAAAAGCAATCAGTGAGAGCTGCTACAAGGTCTGGTCTGCCGTACCCCCACATACTCCTAATTACTTCTCTTATGTGACTGAAAATCGGAAAAGTCAACAGGAATCTAACGAGTTTAAAATAATCTAAACTTTTAGACCCGTTACAGATGTAAAGCTTAAGCAGAAGCCATGGCTCAAAAAAGGAAAACGGCGCTTTGCCTCCCCACTGTAACCTACATTTCAAACTCAGCTGGTTGGAATTAGGTCACTGATACTATCTCAGGACAGTATGGCTTTTGGAAAGAAAAACTTCACAGGATTTACTTTAAAGCCACTTTCTTCCCTGCAACTGCAAGATACAGTTGAAGACCCTCGGTTATGGCTGCCCCCAGAGCAGAAGGAGCAAGGAAGCACAAGCAGCCAATTCTGTGAGTAATTAGAAATCAGTATGAGTTCATTAATGTTTGAGGCACAGTTCACTGCTGGTTTTTGCTTTTCAGAGAATCATAGAATCATTAAGGCTGGAAAGGGCCACTAGGGTCATCTTGTCCAACCGCTAACCCATCACACCATGCCCACTAACCACGTCCCTCCCTCCACGTGTTCCTTGAACACATCCAGGGATGGTGACACCACCACCTCCCTGGACAGCCTGTGCCACTGCTTCTCTGCTCTTTCTGAGAAGAAATATTTCCTAATATCAAACCTGCACCTCCCCAGGCACAACTTGAGGCCATTTCCTCTTGTTCTGTCTGAAAGTAACTGAAAGTAATAGTTAAGGCACAATTCAGGCATTACATAAAACAGCCTTCTGGTAAGAAAAAATATATACAAATAGGTTCAAGAAAACAGAATCTGGTTATCTCTCAGCTCTGCCTCTAAGCAGTTTATTTTGAGGCCGATCTATTTTTACACCTAATATTATAGTATTGCAAACTGCTACAGAATCATTTTAGATAAATGACTTGCCAGTTCAATTGAACTGATTGCATCTGGAAAGAGATCAATGTAATCTGAATTAATTAGAGAAGCAATAGCACACCCAGGGATACAAGATGCTTTTGCATTCGGTTCGTTTGATAAAGCTGAAACAAAACTACTGAAGACAGACCAAGGAGAGAGGATAAAGCATTTAATCAGGATTTGAGTAAGTACCGTATTGCCTGATATCCACACAGATCTGGTCTCCTGGAACCGTCATGTTTATCTGAAGAGATTTGATGACTTCGCAAGTTGACCATATGTTATAGAACATAAAGACAGGCACAGCAGAGAAGCCAAAGACCCCGAGCCAGGCCACTCCAAGCACATAGGTGAGGAAAACAAACTGGGCAGAGAAAAGACAAGCACTTCACATTTGCTCTTTGAAAAGAATACTTGATTTTTCCTTAAAAATTCTTCAATACAGTCTTTAAACATACTTTCAGAAATTAAGTAATGAGGTATTTAACTTCCATTAACGTACGCTCATATTTCCGTGCACATGAACAACCTCAGCTTAAAAACACTTTGCTGCTCTCAGTGCTACTGAGAAAGTAATTCAGGCATTTCTTTTCTCATCAAGCTGCTAGAACAAACAGCATGGCCTCCTGAGCCAGCAACCTATTCATTTCTCAAGAGGCTCAGTGAAGCAGGGATGCTGGTTGTAGGCTAAAACTGATAGAACGCCAACAGGAGTCAGAATAAAGATATTTTTTTTTTGGTCAGCTGTAATATACCAGCACTTCCATGCAACTTGCAAATCACAACAATAGAGTGAATCAATGTTTGCAGAGCTTTTCTCTGCTCCTGATTTACTGAAATCATTTATGAATGTAACAAATGAATACACCTATTTTTGAAAACATACTATGTTCATTACAAGTCAGAAAGCTGGAATTGATCTAATACACATTGCCAAGAAGAAAATTACTTACTTCACCTCAGAGAAGATCAGGGAATTTCCCACTGAAATTTGATGGTTTGTGTTCTCTTTTTTTAAAAAAAAGAAATTACCTGCATTTTCTTTGGTGAGATTACCAGGTATGGCACTCACTGCTTTGGAAATCTCCAGCTTCCTCCTCCCACTGGACCTCCTCTCTCTTCCCTCTTCTTCCATGTTAAGTTTTATGGTGAGGTACTACTCAGAGCTCTGGCATCAGCTCCTAGCTTACCCCTCCTTGAGAGAGTTTGGAATCAACTTGCAAAGCGTGGAAACTCTTTTTACACCTTGCACACACCTTCTCACTGTTATTTAACTCTAGGTAGGAAGGCTTTACTTTGCAGCAGAACACTGACGCTGTACTCCTATGTGAAACCTATGTGCCGGTGCAGCAAGGATGGGAAAAGCTCTGATGGGGAGAATTGTCTCAGCCTGGCCCCAAACTGAACAAATCCTGCAGTGGAGGAAGTCTGCATCCTCAGAGGTGTTTCCAGCCACACTGAAGAAGGCTGGAGATCTTACAGCAGTGGTTCAGCGTTTGGTTAGGCTTTGTAGGGAAAGGTGACACATGGGCAGCTGGAAGTACCTGTAAAACTAAGACAAACTCCCCAAAAAACAAACAGCTTGTCTTGAATTTATATACCACTGATCTGACATACTCCACTTTTTGCCAAATGCTGGAAGATCTCTCACTGGCTCTTAGTATCAACCAAGTGGAGCAGTTTAAAGGATTTCTGTGACTGTGCTATGAATAAAAAGTGGGCTTGCATGTGTGTATTTGAAATATCTGTGAGAAGGAGAACACAAAGCCTTCAACTCCTACAATAGCTATGAAAAAGCACCATCGATCTCACGTGTAATAGAGATAAACTGTTGGAAACAGTTACTGTGTGTTACCACAGCCAGGAGAAACAGCTCAGTCAAGTCAGAAGTCTGTCTCCTGTAATAATCCTATGCGACTTGGAGGGGACTGCCCCCAGCTTAGTGATGTCAAATTGGCAGAAAAACCACTGGATGCCCAAAAGCTGCTGCGTGCACCCAGCTGCAGCCACCAGACTGCAAAAATATTATTTCTGCTCGCAAACCTTGTGATTTTCTGCGTGTCACGCTGGTATTTGTGTACGCAGCTGACAATCATGTGCTTGCAACTACCCAACTGCAGAAGCAATTATCCACAGTAATGGAATGCACATATGTCTACGTTTCCACTGTATTTTGCATCTTTGGAAAATGCTGTTTTAGACATAATTTTGCTCCACAGCGAAGATACTTTCCAAGAATAAGAATGAGAGAATAGCTGCTTAACTGGGCAATGATCAAATCCTTATTTTTATTAGCTCTTGAAAAATTCAATAAGCATCCAACAGCACAGCGGAAAATTGTTAACCTTCATGAAAATAAACACGCATCTTCTTTGTATTCAGCCAGCTGAAAGCACATATTTTTTATGTACAGGATATAGGCTGTATATTAAAATGCAACAATCACATCAAAAGCCTCTGCTCTTCTCACCCACACTTTCCCATGGGCGATCTGTCACACTGCTTATCTTCCTCCAGAACTATGAGCTTTGAATTCAGATTTTCAGCAATAGCTTTGAAATCCTGTCTCAGAAACATAGTTACGTTGCTGTTCTTGCAGAGTGCGCCCTGGGGGGCAACGTGGGTGAGAATCTGAAGTTTTATTTTTAGTTAAACTTTGTTTAAAATGTTGTGCTAATACAGAAGAACATTGAAGAGAAGAATGGCTTGAAACTTTAAGGCTCTAAATGCTTTAGCTTTGCAAAAAAAGACTCATTATTATGCCTGTATCCCTTCTGCCATCTGCAAAAGCAAGATGGAAATATTTGATTCAAGTGCTGTGACATTGGGAAGCTTCATTCATTGCTGTTTGTTTGAAGGATCCAGACATCCTCATGCAGAATAGACTGAGGAAGTCAGAGGCACTGCAGTCTGCTACTTAAATAGCTCTGCAAACCACAGCCCTTTTACAGTCTGCCCTTACCATTGTTTGCACACCCCGTGTTCAAAAGTGCAACTTTAATTCTGTCTCATATTGAGCACTTCAAAATCAGCTGCCTCCACGAATTTTGAACAGTGAGTTCAGCTTTAGCAGGGGGAGGCCTTGGAAGCACCCCAAAAGTCAACATAGAGAGTTTGGATTTGACCGAGCATCCCTGAAGCTCAAAGAAGAATGAGCAGCAGGGATTGGCTCTGCCCACCCATAAGGAGTTACAGGCAGCAGCAAGACGCAGTGGTTCAAAAAAAACCCACAGGATTCAAACTGAGCCTGATGGGTTTTAGCAAGGAATGGCAAATGTTCCCACTTCCAGCACTACTCACCATTCCACTGATGCAGCGGCCACAGGCTGTTGTTTTAAACTCTCCATGCAGCTCCTTCACAGCACTTGTTGTATAAAAGCCTTCTGCCAAAAGGATTATTCCATACAAGAAGAAAAACGATGCAATGCCATAAATTACATACTGCATTAGCTGTATTCTAAAATGGAAAAGAAAAAAAGACACAATTAGATTTCAGTCCTACTAAAACAAAGCAAGTTCTCCCTAATCGTAACAGGTATGAGACAATTCCTTTTTCAGAAACACAGTTCAGGGCTCTATGATGCGTTTTAAACGAGTGGGCTGCAGGAGGGTGCTACATCGACTGCCCCACTGCCACAGGCATGCCCTGCTGATGTTCATAAGTCCTGTGTCTGCTCAAGCATCTCCTGTTTGTGCTGTGGCTCCTGCACTGAGTGCTGTTAGTCATAAGCTGGAGGCCTCCATTTCATGCCTTCACCACAAAGCTGTGCCTTCCTGTGATTGATCCCGACGCTGGACTTGGGGAATGTCTCATGGCTCCAGCATCACTGAGGCAGGAAAGGATCTGATCCACTGCCTGAACTACCAGGCTCTGTGCTGGTTCCTTGGGCTTGGGGGAAAGAAGTAGTCCCTGAAGTTCACCACCTCTACCAGTAAAATCCAGTTAATGTGTGTTTGCAGATGTATGTACATCCAGTCACACTTGTTTGCAGTGAGTGCTCTTGAACCACAGTTTGGAAAGGTACTTCCAAGCAAGCAGACCACTTCAGCACCTTAAGTCACACTTAAGCTCCCCTAAATGCAGGTAAATGTTAAAAAAGTGAAAGAAATATCTAGACAACCCTTCCATTTGAGATACTCTTGAAATGTGCAGAGGAATGCTACAAGGCACATGCCTTGGATCTTATCTGAGGAGGTTCTTCATTCCCTACAAATCTGCTGTCAGCAGTGACACCCTTAAGTGTTTTTACTCTGGCTGGAACAGTTAACAGAAAGAGTCATCTATAATATCAGCAATCTCATCACAGATTCAGCAAACATGCTAACTGTTTTGAAGGACCAGAATGGCAGATCTTCTATACAACACTTCTGGTCTCCAAAAATCACACTTGATCATAGAATAACAGAATCATGGAATGCTTTGGTTTGGATGGGACCTTCAAGGTCACCTAGTTCCAACCTCTGCTATAGGCAGGGACACCTCCTACTAGACCAAGCTGCTGAAAGCCCCTTCCAGCCTGGCCTTGAACACCTCCACAGGGGGGGCATCCACAGCCACTGTGGGCAACCTTTTCCAGTGTCTCACCACCCTCACCGTAAAGAATTATCATTAGCACTAACTTCTCCACAACTTATATTCTTTAAAAAAATATATAGATATATGTTCGTTGGGATGAAGATTTTTAATGAAGCTATTCATAGAACAGAAAGATTAATTTCATAGGTCCATACTGCTTTTAATTTTTTTAAATGGTACATATATGTATGCCTTTCCTCAGATTTTTTTTTCAATTCTTACTACTCTCCCTAAACTGGCTTCCAGCACAGATACACATCTCCGAGGAACACCTGCATGATTTAGCTTCATTTGAAGGAAACTGATTACCACAATTTACATAGTTAAGCATTACCCAGGCAGAACGTAAACCTCCTGCATCAAAACAGGATATCGATCATTTAAAATTACATGTGGGAAGTGAAGTAGCATTTATGTTTATTTTCCAAACTGATTCAAAATAACAGGATAAATCCATTGCACCTGTGCTGTAAAGCATAAAGAAATTAACTCATTTGAGGGACAACAGAATTCATTTCGGTGTCACTAACAGTCCAGAAGACTATGGATGTTACTAAAAAGTAGCAATATGAAACCTGGCTAAAAATCAATTCCACAAATGGTGGCCCACTAGTATATTTTTCATGGAATTTACATCTCTTGGCATTAAATTCTTTGCCCTTTTCTGTCACTTCATCTCTCCAGCCTTTCTTGTTTGCCTTAAACAGAGCTGGAGCTCTTCGGTAAGAGTCTCACAAACCCCCCAGCTGCTGAAGCTGCCTTGACAAGAAATCTTGTCAACAACTCTCCAAAATGCAAAGCTTGTGCCTGCTGTGGCTACTTTTGCAATTTCATTTGCAAATTCTAAGAACAGCTGCTCATTGTTTCTCTCTAAATTTTTATGCTAATGGCAGCACCCCTGTGTTTCACACAACAGAGGACCCAGTGTCTAGCAGCAGGGGGGGGCATGCAGTCATAGGGGATCCTGAATTTGGGCATTGGGAGGGAGAGAGGCCCCAAAACATTGCTGTAGTGCTCTCAGAGGATGGGAAGAGGTGGGATGTGGCAGTCTTAGGCTCAGTACCTGCAGATTTGTGGTCTGTGTCCACATGAGCTAAAAGGGAGGCTATTACCAAAAAGAAGCCTCTCCCCCAAACATGGAGAATTAAGTGCACTGGACTGAAATCTAATACAAAAGTCTTCAATTGGTGTCCTAAAAGCTGGGTAGACGAGCAAAATCTGTGCAAAACCTTCTCAGCACAGGGTATATATAATGCCCAGATGGTGCTGTGAAGAGCAGCATGGATTCAAACCACCATATACTCAGGTTCTCTGTTAAAACAAACTGGATATTTGCTTCAGTGGGGTTGGATACAGAGCCAAGATTGTTCCCCCATAGTAATAATCACCCCAGCAAGTAAGAACCAATAGCCTCGTGATTCCAACACATTTATTTGTGAAATCTAATTCAAGTGTAGGATCTTATCTTCCCTGTACACAAAGCTGCTTGTCCACCCTGGGCACATTATTGCCTTCTGATTGCTGACAGAAGCTGAGTGCAACTCTGGAGCAGTAGGTATAAAGCCCGTATTTTAGAGATCTTTGAAATGGATGTAATGAATATAAATGGGTTAAGGTAGGATACACGTGCTGCTTTTTTTGTATGTAAACACTAAAAAACATCAAAAAACACCCGAAGATGTTGGACAAACAAGCATAGCAATGCTTGAGGATGGAGATTGAGATGCAAATCCATCTCTACCTGCTCAGGAGGGGCTGGGATGAACAATGGGTCTTCCACAAACAATGGCAATGGGAGGCATACTTACACTTCACTCAGCAAAGCATGGTCAGTGGCAGTCGTGGAGAAGTGCTGCTCAAGGATGGACTCGGTGCCTGTGAGCGCCACATGGCCGCAGCCACAGAACAAGGCGACCCCCGAGAAGCAGAGAATGGTTGCCACCAGCGAAGCATATGGCACTCCTCCTAGGCACTTAATGCAACATTCAAAGCAACCTAAGCAGAAGAGAGAAAGCAAAAGAAATGTTATAAGCAAAAAGGAAAAGAATATTCAGTCTCTGCTTGGTAAAAAGCCAAGGGGAATAAAAGGCCCAGACACTGTCACTGCACTAAGCAAAAATCTATAGATGGTGCAAGAAAGCATCATCCTCTGAACACTGACCTACAGATCTGTCAGAGTGAGCTCAATGCCCAGAAAGTGGGCCGAGTACTCCCAGTTTTACAGGATCAAGAGGAGATCGATGGGACAGCCTGTGAAATGGAAAAGGAAAAAAAAATGTTTGTCTGAAGTGGACCACTGTGACCCAGCTGCTGACACAGAGCTCGCCACACTCCAGCACTGCTGGTATTAAGGACACGAGCACCAGGTGTGCTGGCACTGCTCAGAAAGCTGGAGAAGCACTCAAGCCAGTGAAGCCTTTTGGAGAAATGAAGGATGTGTGGAAACCATGGCGGTCTGCAAAACCTAACTACTCTGCAAACTGCCATGGTTCCTGAGTATCTCTGTCTAAACCCATATACGGATACAGATCTATCAACAGAAAACATCAGTGGGTGACAAAGGGTAGCAATTTTTATTGAGTGGTGAGATGGAGTGGAATTACACAGACAATACATTTCCAGCTTTATAGGATGCACTGGATTTACAGTGATCCTTGACTACAGTCTGCAGTAGCATAATCATAGTTTTAATGAAATTTATTGCGTAGGCAGTCTGAGTTAAGAAAACGACCCCCCAGAACTGCTGCTGGCAAACACTGCAATAAGGTCGTGGCAGCTGAATTACCAGGCTCCTCCCCACCGCGCTGCCTGAAAGTCCATCTGCTTGCAGAGCTGGGAAATGTAAATCGGAAACAAACACAGCTTTTAACTGCGTTATAATGGTAATGGCAATCCATACCAATTCATTACTTCAGGGTGATGGCATTAAGCTGTCTCCATTAACGTACATTTCATACAACTGCGCAAAGCACAAGCCATTAGGACGCCGCTCAATGCTGTGCCTGGCGTGGCCAGATCCTGCTGGACAGCACAACATGAAGAAATGATGTGCAGGTATGGGACTTCTGAACCTACATGTCCCAGTGTCCTCAGAGTCCTACACTGTGTCACAAGCATAAGACTCTCCATTTTGAATGCCACTAGCAAGTGCCTAAGTCAAGCTAGAGAAGCTACCACCAGGGAAACAACCTATGAAATGCCACTTTGCTAACTATGGGTGAGGTGTAGTTGCATGGGAGCAAGCCTGGGAAGCATTTGTAGCTGAGTCCATAGCTGGAAGCCGCACAGTGGGAGCTGCCTCCAGGACAGAAACACAGCAACAGCCACAGACATGGCAGTGGGGCACTCAGGGACAAGGCACAGCAAGCAGACACAGACGAGCACTACCACAGAAAATCATCTCTGGTATTCATCTTAGCAGAAAGGTCCAGGGTTGAGCACAGACACCAGACCTTGCAGAGCGAACCTCAGCTGTGGTGCCTGGGGGATGTGCCTGATGGCAGTCCCCAAGCCACATGTCAGGCATAAGGGCAGTCCTACACGTCAGGCTGGCTCACCTCCCTCTGCACTTGCCTCCACATCAGACCCAAATCTCCAAGAGTTAACCCTGGAAATTGCTGCACCTGGCTTGGGATCAGCATTAAAGGCCTGCCCAGGCCTAATGGCACAGCAAGTCAGCAAAGCGTGTCCAGCAACGCACAGCCGCAGCCTGGCATAAAATGGCCTCCCAGGTCCTACTGCGAAGGAGCAGGCAACCAAATACCTGCTTGCTGGTTGGTGGGCAGGAGGTCAATCACATCACTGATCAACTCATGGAAGGACCCCATCAGGAATGGGAAATAAAAGCAGCTAGAAGCAAAGCCAAGAGACCCTTGAGCTAACTGATGGTGGCAATCCCTCTTCCAAGTTCCAAGGCAATCTCTCTTCCAAGTCACTAGCAGCTGCACACAGCACCTTTGTGGCTGTACTCTGTGTGTCTCACCCCAAAAGCTCAAGTATGAAGGCACACCACAATATTTGGGTGGTCTTCATTGTATCAGGTCAGACCATGGCTCCAGGAAACCCTATGAAGTCTGCAGGGTGAGGCAAAGGAAGCTGCCCAGATGTGGAACTGCAGGAACCACTCACACCAAACTTCGATCAGAGGCAGAGGGGCTTCAGCTTACATGGGCATTGCATGCAGCTAGCTTCTAAGTGAACAAAAGCAGCCTAAAACAACCCCTTTCCATGAAACAGAATCCATGTAGTTGTTGGGCACCCAAATCAACGCAAGAGCTCCTGCACAACTCTTGCCAGAAACTAAATTCATTCCCCAGCTGGACAACAGAGTTGGTTTTATGTTTTTATATAGAGATAGATAGATAGATAGATAGATAGATAGATAGATAGATAAACAGATCTCCCCTAAAACAAAGGAAGCTTTCAAAACCAGCTAAAATCAGATGTTCATTAAAGCACTAAGACAGTCTTATCCAGATGCCCAGACTAGCACTGAAGCAAGACAGGATTTCTTCCCAAAAAGAAAGCTTCCTAGGCAACCTGCTTTATGATCACTCTCCGAAACTCCAAGCCAGCAAATACACATTACTGTATGCAAACCCACAATGTCTGCCTATTTTACAACCACTTTTACAAATTAGCTTGATAACACAATGATGACAAATGCAGGCTGAAGGCCTGTAAACAAAAGCTGATCAAAGTTTTAGTAGAAAATTGGACCTAATTTTTTTTTTTTTTTTTTAAATTCTGACATGGCCAACACGCTGAAGTTTTCGGCTGCACATCTACTTCTATCACAGCAGAGTAAAATGATTTAAATATGAAACTGCGCAGCACAAGTACCCGTCGTTGCATCTCCCCTTTCAATGGCCATTTTGTGCAAGGCATCACTAGAACCTTTTGTGCAACTCAGCAGAATAAAAACATTTTTTGTCCCCAGGCTGGTGAGCAGCAGTTGCCATGGAGGCAGGTTAATAACAGCCCAATGATTTGCCCAGGGCTGCCTGTGATCTTGGCTACAGATTTAACACACTCTCAGAAGGAGGCCAGCTAAAACAAGGACTGAGATTATTCTCTAGGGAATGAATGCTATTAAACACACACGCACACACACACAAATATTCTTGCTAAAGGACTAAAATAAAGAGAAAGGAAAAAAGACAGGAACCAACTATTCTTTTAATCTCCTGGAAACTATCAGTCACAGGAAATTGGTAAAGGATGAACCTACATATGTACACAAATCAGCAATCGGTTGCTTAATGTATGAGGAATAATTATATAATCTACCCAGCAGTGTACGGGCTGCTGCATATATGCAGGGGCTTAGCTATTCAATTTCCCATGTCAAACAGCAATTGTGTGGCTAAACCTTCTTTGGTACTTTAAGTACAGCTTTAAGATTTAAACTCAGAAAAGCAAGGTAATGCAGAATTAATGGAAAGAGGTCTTAAAAAAAAAAAAAAAAAGCAGCAATTCTCAGACTCTGACTCATCCAACTAAGGTCAAGATGGACTGGAACGACAAAGCCTGTGCTAACAGAACGACAAAATGCAATACACTGGGATCAGTTAGGTGTCATGGGTAGTCCTAGGGCTTTCTCTAGGAAGTTAACACAGCAGCTCTGGACGCCAGGCTTGAAAAGTTGAGACAAGTGCACGTTCACAGAGCCATCACTCAAAGCAAAGCATGGGAAGCATGATGTAAAGAGTGTCCACAATACCTCCTAGACAGAAACCCAGCCTGTCCTCTAACGTCCCAGACTACTTTTGAGGTTGAACTAGTGTTTGTGTATCTCTGGTAGAAACCGCTGATACTGTAAGGACTGACTAAAAGAAGGAGGAAAAAAAAAAAAAAAAGGAAAAAAGAAAACCTGAAAGGTGGTTGGAAAAGCTCCCCATTTCAGGCAATTAAACCTCAGTGCTGCAATGGCCTCCGTCTGAGTCTGCTCCCACTCTTTTTCCTTAGAAGTTCAATTTCTTCTCACATAAATCTGTCTTTGTTTTTTTAAAGATGAACCAATAGTTTCTTTTTCTCATTCCTTACTCCCTGCAATTGCATAATGCATTTTTAGAAGTCCTGAGACATGGTACATCTGTCCAGTTTACACGTGGAAGAAGTGACATGGCATCTTCCACCCCAGAAGAATCACCTCTGCTGCATTCCAGCAGAGTGCTCAGGAGGTAAGCACTGAGGAACTGCTTTCACAATAAGAGAGTTGTAGGAAACCCTAGGGAAGATAAAGCACCAGATAGCATCTTAAATGCAGTCACTGCTTGTAAATTAGGTTCATTATTGCGCATCTACATGAGTCCTATGTTGGGAGCACTACTCTCAATTCACGTAAGAGGAGAACTCAATACTTTACATTCATCTCCTCTTTCCCCAGCACAGAAGATTACCTAATGCCAAACATGCATAATTACCATCAGAGCCTTAAACTGCCATGGATCTTTGTCAGAAAATTAACTGTAAGTCAATGAAAACAAATGCCAGTTTTACTTTCTGACACCTACTTCATTTTTTAAAATCTCCTTTCCAAACAGCTTGTGCATGGTAGGATGTACATTTTTGTACCTTACAGCATGATTGACAGCTACGGGGGAAGCAGCGAGGGATGTGGGAATATGCCAGTACCTCTGAAGAAAAAACAGCATTTGCCTCCTTCTTCTCTGTGTGAGAATAAGACAGTATCTAGCAGTGAGATAATTTCCAGTTCTCACAGCTGTCACCCACACTAACTGCCAAGGGTCAGCAGCAGCAGTACAATAAGATATTTAGTCTTACAAGGGGGCAAGTTTAAAGCATGTGACAGATTTCCCTCCAAGCATTCACAGGGGCACTCAAATAAAAAGTCTTTGTGTTAAATCACTTGAAAGTCTCAGTTAAAGCTCTATTCTTACCTGTTACTGCTCTTAAATATTGCTGATTTACAAAATATAACACAGAAAGCTAAAAACTTAGTTATAAATGATGAGAAATGCTCACTCACCACT